ATATATATATATATATATATATATATATATATATATATATATATATAAAATGCAGGAAGGCTCATGAACAGTGATGAAAACTATGGGCACACTTCTTATGAAGACCTAGGCTGAAAAACCTGGAAAGTGTTCAGTCATGGTTCAACACTGGGGAAAGCTGTGGAGATGAGATGGGACAACATGGAGTGATCTCTGTCTGGCATCTTCTAGATAACTAGTGTTCATAATTTGCACCACTAATGACCTTTTACCTATCTTTCCCTTTCCAGATCACAAACACATGGAACCACAAGGTACTGAAGATGACTTCTGGGGCCCTACAGGACCTGTGACTACAGAGGTGATTGACAGAGAAAGGAACCTGTACAGGTGAGTGAGCCCTGCCTGGAAAAGGTGACTTTCCCCAGCACACTTTCCACACATTTTTTTTTACCTAGATTCTACTGTGTCTTCTCCTCCCCTCCCTAATACAGGAGGCAGGGCCAGGATGGGAATAAGAAGTTTGCGCTGTTGTATAAATAGAAGTATTTTTCATAATTTTTTGACATCTGCAAAACAAAAGAGCACAGGAACTTTCCTGTTCAATTACTCAGCTCCAGCAAATATTTTTCCAAGTTTGTTTCAACAACTCACATTCCCCTTTGTCAGCACTGTCACAGTAGTGTGAGTTCAGGATATGAGATTTTACGCACATACATTTCTCTATCCCTATGCCTCCATTTTAGTTAAAACAGAACCTTTTCCTCCATAACCAGCATATCATTACCACACCAACAGAGCTGGCCTGAGTCCTTTATTCCATCTAAACAGTTTATACTCAACTTTGCTCATTATCTGAAATGTGGACTTTCTGCAGATTGTTTTATTCATGGTGTAAGCAGCATCCCTGCCATGATTATATTGGTTTTCTTCTGTCTATTGGATTTCCCTCAAATCCCTGTAGTCTCTGCACTCCTGCTTATTAACAATCACTGTGTGCCAAGAACCCACTAGGAGTTGAGACCATGAGGATGAGTACAGCAGCCCTGACCTCTGAGAATTATAGTCTCATGAGTAATGAGTGACTATACCCACAGTCACAGTATCCGACATAACCTGAATCCTCCTCCTACACTGTCACAGTCACTGTCTCAGCTGAGAAACTGTCACTTTAACTTCGTCCCACAGAAGCTGACTCCTGTCCACCCACCAGTCACCAGGCAGGAAGCCTGGAGAAAATCACTGAAGATCTTGGTAAAGCATTGTTTCAGGGCCAAGGATTTATCACTAATAATTGCATATGGGCTCTTATTTTAGGGAAATATACTACTAAGGAATATAAACACTAAAATCTGAAGGAAGGTGTACCTTAGTGGTAGAGCCCTTGCCTAGTGTGCACATTGAGCCCCAGAACTTCTCTCTCTCTCTCTCTCTCTCTCTCTCTCTCTCTCTCTCTCTCACACACACACACACACACACACACACACACACACACACACCCTTATTTTGTCACTATCACCATCATCATCATCACAGGAATAGAAAACTGCTCCAGGTGTGTGTCACCTGTGGGTTTACTCTAGAACACTCAGTACTCTCAAGTCTAGAAGACAGTGTTGTCATTACCCCTATGGACAGATGAAGAACCAGATTTGGGGGTTAAATGACTCATTTAGTCAGGAATCCACCTACAGACCACAGAGGAAATAGAACTCAGAGCCGTTTGGCTAAAGTCTGTTGCGTCCCCAACCCTGCACCTGTTCTGCATCCAGCAGATGAAAAGAGCTGGTGTTCACTGGTGTCTGCCTCTCCCTATTCTAGAGTTCAGTTCCCTGTGGCTGGTTACTACCACTGTCCCAACATAGGACTCCACTTTGTGGTGACAAGGGCAGTGACCATTGAGATCGGATTCTGTGACTGGAGCCAACACCTGGACAAGACTCCCTTGCAGTGCAGTCACATGGTGGCTGGGCCTCTGTTTGACATCAAGGCTGAGCAGGGAGCTGTGGCTGCTGTGTACCTCCCTCACTTTGTGAATCTCCAAGGTAACCAAGGGAAGGATAGGGAGTAGGGTGGAGGCCAGGAGGTGATGGTGGTGCATGGCTTTAATCTCAGAATTCAGGAGGTAGAAACAGGCAGATCTCTGTGAGGTCAAGGCCAGTTTGGTCTACAAAGTGAGTTCCAGGGCAGCCAGGACTACAGAGAAAAACCCTGTGTCAAAAAAGGAGTTGGGTGGTGGAAATAGAGGAGTTGAGAGGTCATATAGGACAGTGTAGGTGGTGGGAGATGAGGAAAGGTCCATGCCTTTCTTAGCAGAGCAAAGCAGGTTGTGGAGGTGGACACTGAGATGTTTTGTCATCCCTTCTTCTATGATGTATCTTTTTTGAAGCACATGTCTCCAAGCCTTATACTTTATTTCTATTTTAACTAAAAGAGACCCTGAGTGGAAAGCTATCTTCTCAGTAGCTATATTAACAGGTAATTAATAAGTACTTTTTACACAGCATATCTCACAAGAGTCCAGCAGAAAATAGAGAATAAATTGAACAATATGAAGAAATTGTCAGAAAGGGAAACAACTAAGGATCATTTGGTACCCAATGTTTACCAACACTCCACTACATTGCTACAAGCAGGGAGAAAATGATGTCCTCAGATTAAATTTAAGAACTGGAGCCACAGAAGGCAGTGTCCTAAGGAAAGAGGGGGACTCATAAGTTGTACCAACCTCAGTCATCACCAAAGGTTTTCAATAAATATAAGATTTTCTGTGAAATATCTCATGATGGAAGCCATAACAACAGCTCTCTGGAGGCTGAGACAAGAGAATTTTGAATGCAAGAAAAAATTAGACTGTACAGCCAGACTCTGCTTAAGTAAGGAAAACACAGCATCAAGGAACCTGGTGTTGTACAAGGGGTTACTGAGGTCAGTTACTTCTTTGGCTATAAGTCCACCATAGACACCAGGAGAATCCAGCTCAAAGCAGACAACGATGTTCTTGTCATAAAGGTGATGAGCAGCCAAAAGAGGGGAGATCCAACGGCTAAAAAAGAATTGAAAAGTAAAATATAACACAAGCTGCTCCAACCAATAGGAGAACAATGAATAGAAAACACGTTAAGCAACCACAGGTTAAAGATATTCATAGTTCACAGCAAGCCCAAAGAAGAAAAAAAGATGAAGAAATCATTCAGGACTAAGTTGAAAACCTCAAAAACAGATAAAAATAACAGTGACATCCACACACACAGAAGGGGAGCACTGCTACACGGATGAGGCCTCCCTAATGTGTCCGTGGCCAGTTCAGCAGCTCCACACCGAGCTCCTCGTCTCCCCAACACTTGCCCCACTCTACACTCAAGCTTCTTCCCTAAAGGCCACCATTTTTCTGTTTCTTACTCCCACTCTCAGATCAGACAATTTCTTCACTAAATACTGTAAGGAAATGATTCTGTTACAGTGTATGGAAGACACAATACATGTTGGAAGGACAGTCCCAGGGCCATGTGGTGGCACATACCATTAATATCAGAATTTCCAATGCTAAAGCAGGAGAATTATGACCTATATCCACAAATATGCAGTAAGTTCCTGTATCTAAAACCCAAAATGAGAAAAGAAATGAAAGAACTTGGTAAGTCAGCTTCTTGGTTAAAAAAACATACAAACAAAAAGAAAACCTTCTGTTATTAGCAATGAAAATTCGAGCACCCCACATTACCTTCAAGTCCTGGCAAAGTCCTGATTAGTATTTACTCTATGAAAAGTCCTAAGTTATTAAATCATTTCAAATGCCATATTTTGAAGGTCTCTAAAAATATGAAGAATATCTTTTTAATTGAAATATATATCTATATATCTAGAAAACCTAATTAACATGACTACAAGCTTGACTATTATAAATGACTCTCTATTAACCTATTTTTAAATTATACATTACATTTTTAAACGAGCTGCACAAACACAATACCTTAATCAAGAGCAGAAATACATATATGTGGTATAATAAAATTATAAATATCCACACCAATGCAAAGTATTCATCTCTATATCATATCCCCCTTTAAATGTAAACAAACATTTATAAACAATATTTGTGAATGTGGACATAGTTTACAACAATCCTAAAGAAGGGAAGTTAAAGAGGTACAGCATCTCCCCAAATTTTGTCAAAATGGCAAAGCACAAAGCCTGAGTAAGTGCCAGACTCTGGTACTGGGACTTAATATGACTTGGGGACAGCCAGGATTTCAAGGCCCCAAACAGGCACACAGGACACATTGTAGTGCTGGCAGCTCCATCTGATACTGCTACCTAGCATCACTGATTAAAATCCAAGCTACACCACTTTCTGTATAACCAAGGTCATTGTCTCATTCTTTGCTGCTTATTGATTCCAAGCAATCACCCAAGAGAAATAGAAATGTTCTCTGCTAAACAATAAACATTGCAATTCTGTTTATCATGTTGCAAGTTGAAGCAAACTCAGTGCTGAAAGGACAGGCAAATGGTGGATTGCAGAGTGGTGCCTCCATTAGCAGGGGTCACAAAAGTTTACAAGTGACATTCAACATTGTGATTCTACCCAGTGACAACTTGACACACAGGCACATCACTTTCAATTCTAACTTTCCACCTCAGGCCTCCAAAATCTTGTTTTCTCTCATAATGCAAAGTACAATCCAGTTACAGGGTCTATGGGTTAAAAAAAAAAAGTCTATAAAGACCACCTCTTATCTGAGATTCAAGGCAATGTCTTCACTATGAGCTCCGATAAAATGGAAAAGTATTTACATACACTCAACATACAGTGATACAGAATAGACATCGTCATGCCAAAATAGAAGAAACAGGGCACACCAAGGAATTATCAGTCCACAGCAACAGAAACTCCATCAGCATAAACACCAAATCCAGCAGCTTCATATCCAGCTATGGAGCTCATGATGTCATTTGTTGGTCTATGAACGACATAGGGAGCTCCACCCCTCCAATTCTATCACATGAAGCACACATAGCCTCTCCTTAGACCATCTCTCTACTCCTTCCCTAAAACTTTCTTGAGCAGAAATAATATGTGGTTCTGGCTTCTACAACATCCAAGAATTTCCATTTCACCTTAGGCTTCATTTTCAAAGGTTCATAGAATGAGCTCTCAGGATCCTTGGAGGTTTTTTGACTCAGGCACATTGTCTGGCTTCACTGCTATCTGAAATTATACAGTATTGAAGAAGAACGCTTATGAGAAATCCTACACTAGCTCAGAACTGAGAATAATAGATGGTTATTTAATTAGTGGTAGACTCACAAATCAGAAGGATAACAGGAACCGAATCCTGCATCCAGAAATGAGGCAAGATGTCCGTTTTACATCAGAATAAATACTATAAGAGGCCATGCCCAAGTGAGCTGTATGATTTCCTGAGGCACAGCATGACTCAGTGACCCATCAATCTAGCATCTTTCATGCATAAAAAGTATAGGAAAGACACTGCCAAGTTCTCCTGACAGCTTAAGATGTGGTTACCCTGGCCCATATCTGAATGTTGTGCTGATCATGGGGAAACACTTCCTTGGGCTTTTGCATTTGTGGAATGGGGAACATGATCACTTAATGCTTTCTCCTTTTAAAAGAATTTTGTTTTTCACAAGATGAGCCCATGAAAACTGAGATTTTGCCCTCAGGACACCTTTTCTACTGTCACTGTGCTTTCTCTGCAGTGATGCTGATCTCTAGTATTTGCACTATTATTCCAAATGCCTAAGAACTATTCCAAATCTTAGTGAACTCTTTTTCCAATCAAGCACGGCTCAGTACAAAACTAAATCCATGTCATTGAATCTGTTCTTTCCCAGAGGGACAGGTGGACACCTCCTGGTTCCATGTGGTTCACTTTCAAGATTATGGGGTGGTCCTAGAAGTGCCAGCCAGAGTGGAGCAGTGCTACACAGTCTTGGAAAGCCCAACTTTCTCCCCAGTGGGAGTTCTACTGAAAAGTATGCTTGCTGTCAGACATTTCATCCCCATCTCTTCTGTCACGTTGATCTACTATTACCTCAATCTCAAGGATGTCACCCTTCATCTCTACCTGATCCCCGATGACTGCACCATTCGGAAGGTAACACTGAGGACCAGAAATGTGGGGCTAGGGTGAACTGACAGAATACTTGAAATATAGCCATCCCTTTGGAGAAATTCTCCTATTGGAGTGGGAATACAGTTCTATAAGGGGAGCCCTGGTGATTATGAGTCTGTAATCTTCTTGGACCCCTCACGACAGAAGTTCATCAGCTGCCTTTAACACCGTATTATCTCTACACATCCTTCTATGGCCTCTTTCCACCCATCAGAAGAATGGAAATTCTCCATATCCAACATGTACCCAACTTCCTTCTTCTCTGTGAGGGACACAGTTCCCACAATGAACCTGACAGAGTCCAATAATTAGCAATCTATATGGCAGAATACAAGTCAGAAGGGTTCCCTGGAGGTGACATCACCCCATCACACAAATATGTACTGATCAACCAACTCACCTTATTTAGACCAGTTAGCTGTTGTGGTACTGAAATCTAGTTAAATTGCTGTCTGCAATGTTCCCTAGGCCATTGATGAAGAAGAAATGAGGTTTCAGTTTGTTCGAATACACAAGCCACCCCCAGTAGACTCTCTTTACATTGGCTCACGGTACATAGTGTCTGCTTCCAAGAACCTGGAAATCATTCCAAAGGTAAGCATCTAGGTGTTTGCTACTCTTCAGAATCAAATGCCAGATTTGGGGCAGGTTACAAGGATTTACAGCAAACTGGGATTGGGGATAAATGATTTAGGCTTTGGGATGAGGAAAAAAACTTCCAAGTTAAATGGAAAGCAATTTAAGGGATCACACAGAAGGTCTGGTGAACTGGGGAATTGGTTTTAATATAGCACAGAGAAGGGCACAGCCTAAAGTGCAACAAGTCCTGGGTCAAGGACTTTCAGGATGAGCAGGACCTTCAGGATAAGCTCTCACTCATCATGGTTTGAATCTGAAAGGTCTCCTACAGGTGTAAATGTTAAACACTTGATCCCCAGTTAGAGCTAGTGTTTTGCGGAGTTATGAAACAAACATGTGAGGCCAGACAATCACAAGCAGGCCACTAGTGGAAGGCCTTGAGGGTTATATCCTCAACCTGATCCTCACCACAGACTTGGATTCCTGATCCTGATATAACAAGCTGTGCCAAAAGCTCCTGCCACAAAGATCAGAGCCCCAGTTTACATGTGTTCCCCATCATGAAACTAAACAACAACATAAACCCTCCCTTAAGTCATTTCCTGCCGTGTTTTTGTCAGAGTGATGAGGAAAGGAATATTATGTGAGCTAAGCTGGCCCCATTAGCATTCTCCATATCTTCTGTTGTTACATATTTCTATGTCCCCTTCCACAATGTTCCAGCCTTTGGAATAAAGATATGCATTCAAAAGCTATGGGTTAACGCACTGAAAAAGACACTCAATGTCTAAGCCAGTGTCTACTATGGTGTGCAAGAGTAAGAAAGTACAGGGCTGTGGAAAACGCTTGTTCTCTTGAGTGGAGGCTTCTGAAACAGAATCTGTGTCCTCGCCCCCTTCAGGAACTGGAGCTGTGCTACCGGAGCCCCAGGGAATCCCAGCTCTTCTCTGAGATCTATGTTGGCCACATGGATTCAGGGATTAAACTGCGTATCACAGACAAGAAGAATGGGAATCTCAAGTGGGAAGCCTTGCTGAATCCAGGTAAAATTTGTTTAGGTCCAGATACCCCAAAGGTTGAAGAAGGCATTGAGCGGGGAAAGGTGTGTTGTCATTAATTCTTTGTGTCACAAAATAGCCAGATAAGTTATGTGGCTTTTGCTAGATCCAAAACAGGTGGTTAGGGTTAGAGTGAGAGCAAGGGGGAGAAGAGGAGCAGGAAAAAGGTGATGAGAAGAGGAGATCAGAAGAGGAGGAGGGACAGAGGAGAGGAGGGGGAGAGAGTAGAGAAGGAGGAAAAGGAGATGGGAAGCCCATGCAAGATATTCTACTCCAGGACATGCCTCCAGTGTCCCAGTTCCTCCAACTGTGCATTCTCATGGTTTCCAGTACCATTCTCAGTGTTCATGCAATTATGAGTGCACTAGTGTATGTGTTCGTCCATAACACCATAGTCTTCATGACAATTACTGCTTCAGAACCAGTCTTTCAACATATGATCATGGAACACATTACATCCAAACCACTGCATACCCTAAGCCCCATTTTCTCAGTCCTGCATCATAATTTCTACTCCCAATGCCCTAGAAATGACAGACTTTGAGATGCGCAAAGCATCTAGTAACAGTTCACATTTAAATGTGAACATTGAAAATGAAGGGATTTTTTCCATCATGAGATTCTTAATCTTAAATCCACACATTTTTTTAAATCCCTTTATCTTTTGGCAATTTTTTGCATGCATACAACGCATTCTAGGAATTCCATCCTAAACAACCCTTTTTTCCCTCCTGCTCCTGTCAGCCCCTCTTCTTTTCTACAAATCCCCTCCCCACATTCATTATTGCTTGTGTCTGACAGAGTTTAAGTAGTATTCTCTGCGTGTCTGAGGGTTTTCAACTACCCAGTAGAAAAGCAAGTGAGTTCACCAGTGGGTACAGATGGATTGTATACTCCCTGTTCTCCCATAATCTATTATTTGTCAATAGTAAAACAGTAAGTAGTACTGTCCCTGTGAGCTGCTTCCCCACATCTAGGGCCCTCCTTGTGTGGGTCCAGAGGCAGTAGGTGCAGGTGCTAAGAGTTCATGACGGCCATGGTCATGTCATGCTTAGAAGATGGCACAACCTCTTATCCATATATTCTCCATATGTTCTCCATATCTTCACAACCCTTCCCCATATCTTCTGTGCCTGCATTCTTTCCAATTTCTCTCCTACAATGTTCCAAGAGCCTCCAGGGGCAATATAATTATCTACTTATAGGGATGAGTTCTCAACCATCCCTTATTCTCAGTATCCTGCACAGCTGTAGGTATCTGCAGTCACCTCCATTCACAGCAAAGAGAGGCTTTTCTGGTGAAGACTGAAAGTAGCCTTTGTCTGTGTTATAAATATTGATATTTGTCTATTTCCTACCTCCTGGTGGATAGCTAAATAATCTTCATCAGGTTCATCTTCTTATTTAGCTTCTCTAGGATCACGAATAATAGGCTCAAAGACCTTTAATTATGGTTAGAATCCACATATGAGTGAATACATACCGTGTTCCTCTTTTTGGGTCTGGCTTACCTCACTCAGTAAAGCGTTTTCTATTTCCATCCATTTGCATGCAAAATTCAAGATGTCATTGTTTTTAACCGCCGAGTAAAACTCTAATGTATATATGTTCCACACCTTTTTTAACCATTCTTCTATTGAGGGGCACCTAGGTTGTTTCCATGTTCTGGCTATTAGAAATAGTGCAGCTATGAACATAGTTGAACAAATGCTTTTGTAGTATGTTAGGGAATCTTTAGGGTATATTCCCAAGAGTGGTATTGGAAATCCTATGTCTCTAGTGGTTCCACATGAATTTCAGCATTTTCCCCACTCTATTTGTGAAGATGTCCCTGTCATATTAATCAGGACTGCATTGAGTATGTAGTGTGCTTTCAATAGGGTAGCTATTATCACAATATTGATTCTTCTAAACAATGAGTATGGGGGGAGGATGTCTTTTTATCTTCTAAAGCCTTCTTCAATTCTTCCTTTCATATGTATATATAAATTATATATTAATTTAATTTAAAATATATATTTATATAATTTGTATATAAATATATATACCTCAAAATTTTCCTTATAGATTGCTTTAATTTATATTTCTAGGTTTCTGCCCCACAAGTGTGTATTTTTATTTATTTACTTGTTGGCCAGTAATTTTTTCATATTTTCAATCTCCCATGGACAAGTGGAAACAAAATTGTTAGATTTTCTTTAGTGAAATAATAGTGCAGTCTTAGTTCAGCATCCACAATGCCAAAACCAATTCCCATTATCAGCACCTCTGGGAATGCCCAGCCCTTGACAGTTATCAAACAGTCATGCTTCCTGCTCCTGAGCTGCTAGAAACAGGCTACACATGTGGGCAGAGAACAGGCATTGCTCAGCCTCACCACGAGTGAGTCACAGGACAACTGACCTGCCCCAGCATCAGCCACTGTTTGAATCTCACTCCAGCATTTACTCTTCGGATGATCTTGGGAAATGACTTAACTCATTGAGTCTGACCTTCCTCATCTGTAAACCAAGGTCAGAAGGAGTAACTCATAGGATGTGTGGAAAGTGTAAACACTGCACATACACATGTCACAGTGTGATCCTTAGCTGATGGGAGAAATGTTGCTATTTTTCTTTATTAAGCCAACATCTTCCTCATGATTTTTTAAATTCTCTTCTTTGAGATTAATTAATATCTATTCTCTTCCATGAGGGAAAGTATTCAAATAATGAAAGATTATAATCATGCTTCACTTGTTTCCCCAATCTCACATTTGGGTTTTTAAATTCACTGTCATTCAAATCATTTTCTCCACTAGATGCTCCAGTTTCTCTACAAGTCAGGATGCACCAAGATGGTCCAGATAGCATGGAGTGTAAGCAATATCATCCTTCTTTCATACAAATGGATTCAGGGCTTCCAATACTAAAAACTGGGTCCTTGGGCTGACTTCCCTAAACTGTTAGAGCACAGCGAAATTAGAATCTTCTCAAACACTAGGGATTATTCATGAGCTGAAATTTACGAACCCCCTTCACTGAGTGTAAAAATTCACTCACTATTTCCTGGTGTGCAGTCTCACATAATCTTGAATCTGCCATCTAATCAGGAACACGAAATGGGAACATGTGAGTGGACAAGGTCAAACAAGGACAAGAGAATAGTTTTCTATCCAGAAACAAATGTCAAATGTTTTAAACCAGTAAGGGGCTTCATAAATTCTCACAGGAAATATAATCTAGGATAAAACTGAGGCTGTGATCCTGTGGGAGAAATATCTGTTGTCATTCACATGTCTTCTCTCTCAATCATGATAGGTCTGGTTCCATGAGTCCTTGTGTAAGGAAATGTTCACCTTCCAGATTATGTCAGAATTTCTTTAGTTGACTCTCAAAATCCCAGGCATTGTTGGGAGTTGCACAGGCTTCACTGACTGTTGGTGAAAGGCATCGTTACAGATGATCATCTCTCCTTTCTTCCAGGAGACCTCAGGCCTGCACAACCCTCGATTTCTACAGCCCACAAAGGTTAGTAACACTTATACAACAAGGCCAAAGAAGCCAATAATAATATACCTCAGGTAGAACATCTGACCTTTGAGAAAGGGTCAGTGAGAAAGGAGGGAGTCTCACTTTGCAAACCTTACCAGGACAGGTAGGCCATGTACTTGCCTCAGGGCAGAGTTCCTCTCATGCCTCTTGGCTTCCCTTGTTGAAAATAACCCCACCCTATAGCACGAACAATAAATACCCAGACAGATGTTGGGGTTCAGCCTGAAAATCAGAAAAGCAAAGTGGCATATTACTGGCTCTTATCTCTACCTCAGACTGAAATGGGGTGAGATCCTATATCCACAAACTCCCAAACCCCACAACCCATACTCCACACTACACTGAGTTCCTGTCTCTTCCCCCTTATATTCCTCTCTCTACCCAGCCATATTACTCCTATCTCCACCTCCCTAGTGCTGAGATTAAAAAATGTTTTCCCAATTGCTGGGATCACCTTAGTGTGTGCTCTATTTCTCTTTTAGACAGATTTAATCTTGTGTAGCCCAGGCTAGCATTGAACTAACAGATCCCTCTGCCTCTGTCGCCCGAGTCCTAGGATTAAAGGTGTGCCACCATTCTCTGCCCTGTATGGCTGACTAGTATGACTGCTTTGTTCTCTGATCTTCAGGCAAGTTTTATTTATTAAGAAACAAATAACACACCACTATACTACCCACTCCAAACAAGAACACCTTACCATAAAACCTTCCTTCTAGTTAGGCAGAGTGTCAGACTAATAACTGACCTCAGGAAGGGTACAGATTTTTTCTCATAACTTCCCAGAGGAGAAAGGGGACCAGAGGTGCACAGTGCAGATAAAATATGTTTTAAAAAATAAAACAAGAACTGAGCAGACAGTGGAAGAGTTCATGGAGGACCCTTTCTATGCTCAGTGTCAGTCTTCACCCTTAGATGCTCCTGCCTTGTCACACTTTGTGGACCAGCATCGGGAGCAGCTGGTGGCCCGAGTGACATCAGTGGACCCTCTCTTGGACAAGCTGCTTGGTCCGGTGCTGAGGGAAGAGCAGTATGAGAAAGTGCGGGCTAAAGCCACCACCCAAGACAAGATGCGGAAGCTCTTCAGCTTCAGCCGGTCCTGGAGCAGGGCCGACAAAGAACAGGTCTACGAAGCTCTAAAGAAAACACATCCTCACCTGATCATGGACCTCCTTGAGAGGTCAGGTGGTGTCTCTGTGGGATCCTGACATCTTAGTGGCTGAGGGGTGAGCACTCTTCTTTGAGTCCTGGCTCTGCCTGACCTTCCTTTGGCCTCCAGGTTCTCCATCTATAAACCAGTGGCCATCTGAGTTGCCCTTCAAATGGCAATGTTCCTAGGACATCTCTTGGGGACCCAGATGTTCCCTCTTGGCTATCCCCATCCTGTTCATGTGGGATGTGCATCTCAGGAAACTTCCAGTGGAACCAGCAAGTCTATTCAGCCTTATCCAGCTGGACTTCATGGCCTGAGTAGCCAGTTTCAAAACCACCTGACCAACCATGACACAAGCAGAACTGGGAGCATGGGGATGGAGACAATGAGATGGTGCTTTCCCTGGAAAGTGAATTCTTATGAATAAGAAAGGAAGGGGGCTTCTTAAATTTTACCACCCTCAGTTTTTGTTGTCTTTATTGATTCTATTTCTATTTTCAGGTCTTGAACAACTTATTCATTTACTTCCTTTGCTCTTTGTGTTTTTTAAATGTTTTAAGGGATTTGTTTATTTCCTCACACTGTTTGGGTTCTCCTGGATTTCCTTAGGGAATTTATTAATTTAATTTCTGAGGACCTCTATCACCTTCATATAAACTTTTAGGATCTTTTTCATGTCCTTTAGCTATGTTGAAATAGTCAAGACCTGCTGTGGTAGATAGAGGGGCGCGAATGGAGGTATTTTTGCCCGGATATTATTGACTGTATTTTTATACGATCATCTAGGCATCTGGAATTGGAATGATTAAAGGTCTAAGTACTGATATCTGAATTTGCTTTGTTTTGGTTAGGTGTTTGTACCTTGGTTGCTATTCTTTCTGATTACAGGGGAGTGTGGTGGCTGTTTGTTGCCTGGTAGGAAATTTTATGCACCTAATACGTGTGATCAGTGAGGTTTCCCAGGAAAATATATTTCTTATCATTGACAGCTGACTCTTAGGAATGAGGCTAGACTAAGAGTCTGAAGGAGTTCACAGGAGAGAGGAGATCAGAGTGTTCAATGAGGACCTGCTTCTTTAGTCTCCTATGAGACTAAATGAGAGGAGGGACAGTGAAAAGAGGTCACTCACAGGTCGGCTATAGCACTGGGGGTAAGACTGGATTGGATCTAGAGGGACAGAAGGAGAAAGGAAAATCTATACACAGCCTAACTGCTTCCCTGGCAGGAGTAGCCTGTGGGTTAACAGGAGGTGTCTGCTGGAATTGGAGGAAGGGATAAAGCAACAAGTGGGGTAGGGAGGCTGGGAGGGGAAGGTCTGTGGGAACTACAGGAGAAGTTGGCAGAGGAGGAAAGAAGGTTGAAAAACAGGTGCTCTGTTGCAGAGATAGTGATGAGACTTGGGTATTGGGTTTGGGGTAGAGGAGGGAGTGGTGAAGGTCCTCTGTTAGTTTACCTGTTTCCCTGACTGCAAAGCTGATGTGATCACAGGAATGAAGTCACCTGGTTTGGAGGCTGAGCTCCTGGGATGAGTTGGGGGAAGGAAGGTTGGAGCAGAGGATCTTTGAGATTTGAAGAGAGTGGCATCAGAGGGGAAAGGAGACCACAGCAGGTGTTCTTTTTAGTTAGGAATGAGCCTTGGGTTACTGGGAGCTGAAGAGAAGGAGAGGAGACCTGCAGTCAGCCTAGCACAAAGAGATATGCCTTCTTCTCTAAGCCTCATGAAATTTTTCCAAAATTGATAATATACTCAAAACAAAAAGCAAGTCTCAACAGATATAAGAAAATTGAAATAACATCTTGCATCCTGTCAGATCAGCTGAATTATAGCTGGATCAACAACCATAGAAAGCATACAAACTCATGGAAGCTGAAAGACTATCTTCTCAATAAAAAAAAGGATCAAGACAGAAATAAAGAAAGAAATTAAAGACTTTCTAGAACTCGATGAAAACAAATACATGATAATGATATACCCAAACTTATGGGACACAAGGAAAGCAGCGCTAAGAAGCAAGTTCATAGTGCTAATGAATACATTAAAAAACTACAGAGATCTAATTATAAAATGTAGACAGATTTTTCGTTGGGCTGCAAGTTCACAAAAAATGACGCAGAAGTTTATTATTAATTATGAAAGCTTTGCCCTAGCTTAGGCTTGTCGTTCTAGCTCTCATAACTTAAATTAACCCATGTTTTTAAATATACATTCTTTTACGGAGCCTGCTTACCTTTACTCTGTATTGCCTGGCCTGCTTCCTCCACATCTGCCTGGTGACTCTGCCTTTCCTCTTCCCAGAGCTCTCTGCCCGGAGAAGTCCTGCCTTACCTCTCCCTGCCTAGCTAATGGCCATTCAGCTTTCCTTTTGTAAACTAATCCCAGTGACACATCTTCATACAGTGAAAAGGAATATTCCACAACAATGAAACAAATAGTTGTTTTTTGAGGAAATCAACAAAATTTCTAAATCCTTATCCAAATTAACTAAGAGGCAGAAAGAGACTATTCAAATTAAAAATATAAGAAACAAAAGGAAGACATAACAAGAGACACCAAAGAAATCGAGAGATCATAAAGACACACTTTAAAAACCAGTGCTCCAACAAATTGAAAAATCTAAAAGAAATGGATAATTTTCTCAATACACACCATTTATGAAAGTTAAATCAAGGTCAGATAAGCTATTTGCACAGACATATACCCCCTAGTGAATTATAGGTAGCCACTAAGTTTTCCAAACAAAAATAGACCAGAACCAGAAAGTTTAGTGCACATTTCTACCAGTCTTTCAAAGACCACCTAATTCTCTTCAAATTATTGCACAAAATAGGAACAGAATTAGCACTGCCAAATTCAAGGTAAGAGACCACAGTCATCATGATACTCAAATGCAAAGAAAAATTCAACAAAGAAAGAATTGCAGTCCAATTTCCTTAATGAACATAAATGCAAAAATACTTGTAAAATACTTGCAGTTTAGGCCTGTTGGACCCCAGAGGTCAAGCACGAGTCCAACCCAGATCTCTAGACTTGGGGCAGGAAAAATTTCACTGCCCTCTGGTACTAGGTATTCAGGCACCATTATGATTTTGGCACCAGAGTCCTGCCCAGCACCATGACAGATTATGTCAGACAACAAGACCCAGAAGCAGGCCAAAGGGGGACTGCCCCGGGCTCTGAGGAGGAAAGATGGTCCTGTCCTGAGCCAAGATGGCTGAGTGGGAAGAGACCCATAGATGGCATGTGGCAAACAGGCACGATTATGGTATACAAATGTATGGTATGAAATGGGAGAGAGAAAAGACAGAAAGGTTCATGTCCTGTGGACAGAGGCAAATCTGAAGAGGAGAAAGTGGTGAGGAGCAGGCAAATGAGGGAGGCTTGATTGCCACCCATCACCATGGTGATGTCTGTGCCTGGGCTGCTGCTGGGGCTCAGGTCTGGGTTCATGACCCTGATGCATTCAAGGTCTGTATTGATGTCTATGACTCCTGATACCAGCAAAGGTCCAGAAGGTAGAGTTGGCCCCACACATTACTGAGTGTCACTCTGGAGAGAACTGATCCTGCCCCTCACCCACTGAAGCACTCGTGAGAGTGAACCCTACACCTCCCCTGGGTAGCACAATAGAGCTGTCCCTGATGGGGTAGGTGTGGGAGAGCTGACCCTAAAAGCAGGAAAGTAGGAGAACTGGCCCCACACCTTGCTCATCTCTGCAAAGGATGAGCTAGTCAGGTCAATGCAAGAAAGCTCTCCCTGGTGGGAAGGATAAGAAGCAAGAGCTGCCTGGTAGATTGACTAATCCTGCAACTACCCAGGTCCAGAACCAGGGTTATGGGTTGGTCAATAACATGTAATCCTTCTATGGTCTGTTGGAGCAAGTGAAGGGGCTGGTATTGCAGACCCAAGGCTGCAGAATATCCTTAACACAAGGCAACAACAGGCTGTTCAAGAGGAGTCCAGTGAGGGCCCAACATCAAGAGTTTTCCAAAAACCAGAAGCCCAGAACCAGATCAATGACTCTTTGCAATGAACACTTGTAAGTAAAGATAAATGAAAAATGATTTACTGCATGACTCACTGTGTCACACTAATGCTTTCATGACAAGATTGATTATTTTCCTTTTTTTTCTAAATTATATGTTATTGGGGGGGGGAGGCTGCAAGGACAGAAAGCAGATACAAAGGGATGAGGAAATAAATGGAATTGAGATGCCTGATGTGAAAGACACAAAGAATAAATTTAAAAAAACTTGGTATATTAGAAGAATCATTAAAAATGAATTTAAAGAATACTTGCATTTCAAATGCAAGACCGCATCGAAAAGATCATTGGTGATTATCCAATATTCTTCATTTCAGAGATGCAGGGATGGTTCAATATATAAAAATGAACAAATATAATCTGCCATATAAACAACCTTAAAGATAGTAAAGGAAAACACATGATAAGCTCATCATTTCATCAGATACAGAAAACGCCTTTAACAAAATCCAACACCCCTCCATGATGAACGTTCTTGAGACAATGGATACAAAGAACATATGGAAACATAATAATGGCAGTTCACAGAAAGTCTATAGCCAACGTCAATTTAAATGAAGAGAAAGTCAAAGCAATTCCACTAAAACCAGGAGCAAGAGAATGTTATTTACTCTCTCCATACTTAGTCAAAATAGTATTTAAAGGCTTAGTTTGAGCAATAAACTAAGTCTTATTGCCTACAAGATTTATAAGCTGAAGGAGATTAAGGGGATATAAATTGGAAAGGAAATACTTAAAATATCTTTATTTGTAGATGATATGATAATATACATAATTGACCCTTAAAATTCCACTGGGAAACTCCTCCAGCTGATAAAAACACTTTTATGAAAGTTGCCGGGTACCAAGTTAACTCCTGACCATCACTAGCCCTCATATCTTCAAGGGAAAAATAGACTGAAAAACAAATTAAGAAAACAACATTTTAGCCTCAAATAAAATAAAATATCTTGAGGTAAATCTAACCAAACAAAGGAAAGACTTGTATGATGAAACTTTAAGTCTTTGAAGGAAGTAATTGAAGAAGATATCAGAAGATGGAAAGATCTCCCATGCTCATGGATCAGTAAAATGAACCTATGTAAAGCTGGCCACTCTACCACAATCTACAGATTCAATGCAATCCCCATCAAAATTCCAACATAATTCTTTACAGACCTTGAAAGGGTAAGTCTCAACTGTATATGAAAATATTAAAGTACTAATACAATAGTATTAAAATACTAATACAATAAACAATCCTGAAAAATAAAAGAACTGCTGAAGGTTGTCATTCCTGATTTCAAGTTAAACTACAGAGCTACAGCAATAAAATGCAACATGGTATTGTATAAAAGCCTTGTTGATCACTGAAACCAAAGTAAAGACCCAGACATAAATCTGCACACCTACAGACACCTAGTTTTTAAGAAAAAGCCAAAAATACATACTGGAAAAAGGACAGCATTTTGGAAAAAAATAGTGCTCGTCAAACTGGATAGCTGCAAAGAGAAGAATACTAATAGATTTATATCTATCACCCTGCAAAAACTCAGTCAAAAGAGATCAAAGATCTCAATATAAAACCAGATATATTTAACCTGATATAAAGTGGGGAATAACCTTGAACACATTGGCACAGGAGACCACTTTCTGAACAGAATACCAGTAGTGTAGACATTAAGATATGTGTGTGTGTAATATATATATATATATACACACACATATATATATAAAACATACATACATATACATATATGTGTGTATGTATATATATGTATATAACATATATACATATATG